CCCAGCTCCCACCACGCCCCCAACTCCATCTCGAAGCTTCCAAGCTGCTCTTAATATAAGTTCCTTTAACTTGGAAAACGAGGCAGCTTCTGGCCACTGTTAGGAAACTGTGACCTCTTCTCCATATCTGTTTAAAATACAACCTTTGCATAATTCGGGACCAACTACCTGGAGGAATTATGCTGAACAAGGCTCTCAATCATCGCTGCATGCAGTCTTCAGTCCTGCTTAAAAACCGTATTTCTAACATGAATAAAAAACCCAACATCACAGAAATATAACTCCTTGCAGCAGATCTGGGCCAGATTTGGGGGGGAGGGGGAGGCACTTGGCCACTCCAGAAGTGGGAGATAGACCTTCATGAATGTTTGCAAAGCTGCATCAAAACCCATCAATTCTGAAAACACTCTGGAATTCCTGGAGTGAGAAAGGTGCTGATAAAAACACTTAACAAGGGGCAATGTCCATGTGGCAAAGGCTCTATTGTTAAAAGAGCTTTCAAGGGAGCTCAATCTTGTGAAACCATCTTGTGCTTTTCCATTAATTCACCAGAGAGAAGGCCCAGCATTCAAGTAAATAGGAAGTTCATGTGTGATGGTCAAATCCCAAACACTCAACCCCTGGACCCATGAACAGTTAATACACAAAGAGCTAAAGTGATGGGGGAACAAGAGGCAAGAACCCACCAGGAACCAGAACAATCATAATGAAAGCTCAGTGGTTACAAAAAAAAAAAAAAGGAAAAAAGAATACAATGTGAGCTTTAAACACACTTTTTGCAGAGAAATTACAGTCATAAAAAATCTTTGCATTGGAAAGGCATTCATATCATAGAAAACTTTTAAGCTATAAACTGACATGGGTTATTTACAGAGTCTAGAATGTCTGCTAGCACGTTTGATTCAGCATACAAATTCCACACATCACAACACAAACAGAAGCTAATCTTTTTTCCTTAATGGAAAATTAAGCTCTGCACAGAATACAAGATTCCAGTTGAATAATTCTATTGCTTCTATATCAACAGATTTGAACAACATGACAATCCCAATTTCTAGGCAATAAAAAAAAATCGTTTGTTACTGAAGCAAAACACTACCTCCATCTACTTACTGTAGGCAAGAATTGAACACAAAATGAATTGAGGGTTGTTGATTTCTTAGTATGTAGCCTCCAATTTATTAACCCACTCTTTGCTGAAGTTGTCAAGATGCGACCCTGGTTATACTTTGAGATTCCCACACATGCACCTTGTTTTCTTTGGCGCTAGGGATGCCTCCCCTTCTGTTTAAAGCAGCAGCTCCACGGAATTGGGAGAGAGCATCCTGGACACCCAGAAATTCAATATGCAGCTCCTGAAATTTTATTTAAAACAAAAAGGAAGAAAAGACAGGCAAGAAAAAACCCCAAGGAAAGAATGGGCACAGCTGACATGCCCTTGACAGCTGCCCTCAGACCTCACTGGGCAGCCCTTCCTTCCCTTCCCCCCACCTTTGAGAATTACACACAGAAACAAAAGTAACATGAGCATATGTATATGCAGAATTTAATCAAATGTTTATAGAACCTTCAATTACTAATAAAAATCTCTTTAAGTTCTAGAGCATCTTTCTTAGTCCAAATTGTAAAAGCATGAAACCTAAGTTCTGATACTTAGGTCAATTTGAAGAGTATCATAATTTAATACCTCAAACCACTGGTATTTGTGGGCAAGTATATGGACTGATCAGAATTTGTGTTTCCTATTTTTTGTTGTTGTTAAGATTCGAAAGCACTAGGTATAAAGACAATGTCCATCTCAATGAGCAATTTCCCTCCCGAGTTCTTAAGCATATGATAATACATCCATATAAGAATGAAGTCTTTCTGCTTCGTGCCTCTATCAAAGGCTAATACATATCTTTATGGCTACAGTCCTGTGAGAAGGGGGAAGGGGAGACGGGGAAAAGTCCCAAACAGAGTTTATAAGGAACATATATTAGAAAGATTGCATAAATCATTCTTTAGCAGATTTAACTATCACATCTTTCCAAAAGTAAACAAATTGGGCTATATTTGCAGCAACTCAAAGTGGAGCATAAATTTAAATGATGTGTTTGTTTTGTTCACTGATAGGAGGCTAATATTACATTAATATCTTTTCTTCCTGTCAAGAATTATTTACATATGTACAGTATTTCAGTTAAAAATAAAATATAATACCATAAACTATATTTTATAGGAAAGCATAAGGGAGCCAAATGTGCAAGTCTATTAAAGACTGAAAAACTTCTAATAAACTACTTTATTGGAGAGGGGGCTTTAAATAATATAGTCTGTAACAGAGAAAACAAACTGCTCGTGGGTAACTGAGGCTTCGGAGGCCCCCACACCCAGTTATCCACCTGGTTACATGACCTTTCAGACTCCAGATCAGGCAGGTGGGGCGCAGAAGCATGGCACAGGCCAGGCCACCTGGAACCTGTGCCCATCCCAGGTGCAGTCCCGTGACTACAGGTGGGAAAGGGATCATTCGACTGCGTGGTGTGTCAGGGTTTCAGAACCTTTCCTCCCTCAGCAGGTCCGATTACAGTAAGAGATATGCACCAAGTATGAAAGGAGCAGATTGTGAGTGACTGATCACAGAGTACTCAATTCTGTTTCTCCAGCATGGTAGTGTCTAGAAGATTCCGCTGCTTTGGTTCCAGGGTGGCAAAAAAGGAGACATCTTGGTCCCGATCTGATTGCAAAGCTAAGACTGTCTCTTCAACTACTTCAAGATGAGGGTGACCAGCATTTCTAAAGTATGCTAGAGAGAGAAAACATGAGTTTGAATCATGTGCCATGAATTGTGTTCTAAAACATCCTCTAGTTTGGGGGCTTCCTAAACCAAATCTCAGGACAATAAATCATTTTTAAAAGAACCATCACATAAATAAGTTCTTTATAGTGATAAAATTGTTTTATTCAAAGAGTATTTCCTAAATTTTAAAGATGTACTCCCAAGAATTGGTAGGCATATTTAGAAAATTATAACTAAAAACTTTTACTATTATCTTTTCTTCCCTCTAGTAGAAGTGAACTGTCCAAGACCCCTACCTTATATTAAGTCCTATTCAGGTGAAAATAACTGACCAGGTTGGGTTATATGTTTTTTCTTTCTGACTACAAAACCAGACCATAAAAACCTAATTGCAGTTCAGGCTTAAATTTGCTATCTTTTATAATCTGTATATCATAACTCAAAATTTGCAAAGTTTCCTTCATTTCTAGAAGATTGTGTAATATCCTGCATTTTAGCATGTTGATTAAATGTAAAAACTGAACCATGTTCATTTCTTCAGTCCCTTTATGAATAACATAAAATATACATGAAAGTGAATATATTAATTTATATAATAACCAGAAGTATACTATCACATGACTTGGCACAATTTCCTAGAGAGGAAATCCTCTGCCACCTGATGAGGTTTACGATGTGCAAGTTCAGAAAGCTGGTGCACGCACGTACCCTTGTCCAACAATGTCTGCCTCAGGGCTTTGGCCAGCAGCACCCTGACATTGGGCACAGGATCCGAAGCAAGGCTTAGAAGGCTGGGGAGTAAGTGTTCGACAAACTGGTCCACAGGGATACATTCCTCGCTCACCACTGCCTGTGAATAAAAGACAAAGAACTGACATGTTTCAATGGTGATCAGCCTGGTTCTTCTAAAAACATCCACTTCTGTGATCCCACAGAAGCAATTTCAGGATGTGTGGGTCTGAGGGGCATGTGTGTCTCTGAATTTAAAACTCTCAACCCCTGATCTGGTTAGAAACACAGTTAACATTTTATAACTCCTCACCGAGCCCTGGGTATAAGTGTACAATATTTGGTGGAGAAAGCAAAGGCTTTGAGTCCGACAGGGCTAGGTTCAACCCTGACTTGGTCACTTACTGCCTTTGTGGCCTTGCTTTGTGGCCTTGCCCTCCTGAGCCTGTTTTCTCATCTGTTCAATGGCCAGGTAGAGGTGATGGCAGAACACCCTTGCAGAGGCTGGCATAGCGCCCACCAGTAGGGGTGAAGAACCCTCACCTCTGTCATTCACTGAAACCCAGGCTCTGAGGGCAGGGGCCATGCCTGTCAAGTGACAGCCAGAGCCCTGACCCCGATGATCCAGTGCCTGGCCGGCTGTGAACTAACAAGCACTGCTCCCGTACCCCCACCAGCATCTGCTCACTGCCTCTCCACTGAATGAGTCTCGCATTTAATTCTCACTGTCAGCCCTGGAGTCAGAATCGGCCTAGTTTTACAGGTGAGGAAAGTCGGGTCTAATGTGGTGGCGAACCCAAAGGTCTCAGGAGCAGCAAGCAGCATCGGGGTGGAGATTCCAAGCCAGGCATGCGAAATCTATAGCTCTGACTCCCGCAGATCTTCCCACTGCTGGGAACTGCAGCGGCTGCCACATGCTAAGAGTCCTCTAGGTGCCGGCACCGTGTGAGGTGACTCAGAAGCATGGGCTCATTAAAGCCTCAGGACCACACCAGGAGGCAGGCACAGACAGCTGCTCCCCATTTCAGATGCAAAGGCAGTGCCGAGAGGCTGCCTGGCCCAAGGCCACTCACTTGGCCCAGAGGCCAAAGCTGGTGGTTTGGCTCTAAGTGGGCCGTCATAACCGCACGCGGTGCTCTCTCCCTAGAGCTGCATTTCCATACTAGTGACCATGACCCTTAGGAGGTAGTCTCGGCTGAGAACCCTTTCCTTTTGCTGTGCTATTGTGGGTTTTCTAAATCTTTAATGGTTAATTAGTGAACGCACACAAAAAATTAACTGTTCTTTAACAAAATTGGTTGGCATCTTTTCCTTTTGTTTCATCATGTAGTTTCTAAATCTGAGATAGAATTTTAAAATAAAAGCAAAAATACCTTATTCACCCTTTTTCCACAGAATGATTTACAAGCCTGTGGTATCAGACCTATGGTCTGTGAATTTGGCACTTTTCAAAGTGGATGGCCACAGTACCCTTGTAATGCCCCTCCAGCCCAACAGGGGGCCCTGTCGAGTCCTTCTGTGGGGGTGATGAGGTGGGAGAGAAAGGGGGCTTTGGGGCCTGAGGTCAGGTGGAGTCCCATCATGGCTTTACCACTGACAAAGCTGGGTGATGGGTTCACAGATTCATTATACTGGTCCCTCTACCTTTGCACATGCTTCAAAATGTACATAGGGAAAAGTTAAGACTTAAAATAACACATTAGCAGGAAAAAACTATGGCTTTATACTTCCTGTGTGATCTTGAACAAATTACTTAACCTCTCTGGCTGCAGCTGCTTCATCTAAAAACTGGTATAAAAGTAAATGGGTGTACCATGCTCAACACACAAATTACTGAGGATTTGTGTGTGATGAGATACCTGGCACGCAGAGGTGCTCAAGAAATGGCAGCCATCCTCCCCAGCCAAACGTGAATCACACCCTCATTTCCAAGATGCAAAGTCGGGAGGGTGAGCTGAGGAGCTGGAAAGCTGAATGAACTTCACTTGAACTAGATTAAACAGTCTCTGCCCTAATCTGTTGCTCTGTCCTTCACTTCCCCTTCCTTCTGAGACACATGGCTAAGGTGAGGGGCAGCGACATGACTGGACATGACAGGTGCAGGGCTCTGGGCCTGGCCCTCACCTCACAGATGGAAAGTGCTGGGAGGACAGGAGGTTGTTTACTCTTTGTCTCCAGCATCTGGAGGATGCCTGGCACACAGTAGGTGCTCAATCAATATCTATAGGACAAATGTGTGTACAGGTTGGGAAACCCTGAGCAAGTCACTTTGCCTGACTGGGCTGGTCCCAATCTGCTGTGAAGGGGGTTTAGTCCATTGATCCCTAACTTCTTGCCTAGTACTCAGACCTGGGTTCTTCATCCGGGGCACTTGATATCAACACATGGCAATGTGTGCCCAAGGTAGATTCCCCCCAGGTCATGCTCACCTGGCAAATGAAAGCGAAAGCTTGCCTTCCAACCCATTTTGAACAGTGCCGGAACCTTAGGATGAGTTCATTGATGAAATTTACCCCCAAAGCACTTTCACTGTTTGAATAGAACTTCTGCAGAATTGCCACAACCTGTGAAAAAAATCAGAAGAGAAAATTTAAAATGCTGCCATCTATTTGAATTATGAATACTACTTTACATGGAAACAACATTTTTATGTACCCTTCCACCTTTAAAATAAATTTATAAGCACAGGAGAAAGTAAGTTTTGTTACAGTAATCATTAGAACACAGAGGAAAAAAGATGTTTAAATATATGGCAATACACAGACACACACATGAAACCTTTCATTAAAATAAAATTTAACAAGGGACTGACATTGGAAAAATACATCATTAATCTTAAGATTTCAAATTTGAGAAAAATGTCCCCTTGCATAATAACTAAACCATTACCTTTTAGAACATGTCATTTTTATAAAAATTTAATACTGTCAGAATGCCTTAGTAAATCAATAATACATTTTTTTTCAAATGAGACCGCCTCAGCCCCAAGTCTTCAGCTGGTGTAAGCCCATATCAAGCAGGATCAGCTTTGCCCTGCTGGAGTTTCTGCTCACTAACTACTTTGCTACAAAATCATGCTGTAGAGTAAACCCAACCTGGGTTTAAAAGAAACACTAAGCCACTATATAAAGGGTTTCATTTATAAAATGATTTACCCACAATTTCCATCCCTGAAGAGTACAGCTTAACAAAAGGCTATCTTATGTATTGATAAGACAATCATACAGTTCCTAATTCCAAAGTATAAAAGCTGGTTTCATAGGTAAACTGACAAATTAAGCCCCCCAAAATTAAGGAGTTAAAAATGGAACACAGATATTCCTACTTCCAAAAATCACAAACAGAAAAAGCCAAGATTCCTTACTAGTTTGAAGGAGATCCACCGCACTTCGGAAACTTTATCTGCACACAACTTTAAGGCAATATGCATTAAATAATCATAAACATCACTGGGATTATAGAGTTCCAAAATCAGTATCAGCTGCCTGAAATTAAAAAAAAGAAATTGTTTTGGGGGACAAAAAACCCCAACATCTTATTACTTTCTCTTTACTCTCACTGCATCTTATAGAGTTAAAAAAAAAAAAAAAAAAAAAAAAAAAAAAAAA